TGTACAAATGTGCTTTACACAATTGATGTATGTATGGATTGTGATGAGTTGTATAAGCCCCTAATAAAATGATTTTTTTAAGTTATTTTTTTAAGTTCCCCTTTTAAAGTTAAAAACAAAACAAAAAACCTCTTTCAATGTCTACTTTCACTTTTATACCTCAAAGGAAGAGATTTACCTCCTTTTCCAAAGGTAAATCCTTAACTCTAATAACTAAGCCCATGTAGTCTCACTGCCTCCTGGAAATAATTACAAACCAGTATTCTTTAACTCCACTCTATTGCTTGGTACATCTTTTGTTACATCCTACCCACTGGTTTCTTCCTCTATCTTTAACATGTCCAAACTTCCCATAAGAAAATATAAACCAAAAAGCTCCCTTTACTTTAACCTATATTACATATCTTTCTTTTGTTAGTATGTCTTAAGAACATATGGTCCATATCCATTTATTTATTCAACAGTTATAAAGTATCTGCTACATACTTCATACTTTACTTTCTACATACCATTATAAAAACTACTCATTTAAAAATGTAAATCATGTTTGGTAGAGGATGAGCAAAAATTAAGGGAAATCTTCCAGGAGATGGACTAACACATTGGCTCCAACAAAAGGTCAAACATGAAAGATTGAGTGGTGCACCACCAGGCATTGTTTTATTCTGTTATATACATTAACTTCACCATCAGTCAGGGCCAACACAAGTGCAACTAACAATATGGAAATCACAGAGAAGTAAAACTAGGACATCAAAAATATCACCTCAACTAGAAATACAAGATATGTATGTGATCTCAGTGGTATCCCTGTAAATCTAGCTCATGAAAACTCAACTCTAGTAAGTCTATGGCACCTATACTCTAATTCCTTAAAATTTCCTTCTCCCTATAATTCCATTTAATTGTGAGTCCAGATGTCACTAATGGAATTCTAATAAACAAATTCAAGTCTCTTATACTCCACTAACCTAGTAGGACCTTTACTTATTTATCTTAAATACCCTGCATGGTATACCTTTCACCCACCTAATAATCTGGGGGTTCCTCAGGGGTATGGCTCTAGTTTCTATTCTTGACTCAATGCTCTTCATCTTTAAAGATCAGATACATTTAAAGGTCTGAAACTATATACCCATCTTTCAGATCTACATCCCAAAACCTAGTTCTGTATTTCAACTTCCTATTTAAATATTTCCTCTGATTTTGAATAAATGGTCAAAGTATTTAGAAAAAAGTTTTATTGAGCTATAACTAACACATCATTCAACTCAATAATTCAGCCATATTAAGAAGGGTTGTGAAATCATCATCACCATCAACTTTGGAACATTTTCTTCATTCCTGTAAAAAAATTTTGTGGTCCCAATTTTTGTTCTTGTATATGCATAAGAATAACATTATTAACAGAATAATCTAAGAGTGAGTGATCAATGCATGGGCAAATTATAGGTACTTCTCTCTCTGGCTCCCCTCTCTTCCCCATCTCCTCTCCCATGTTCCCTTGCCCTCCCTTCCCTTCCCCCTCTCTCCATGTGGACCACCAAGCTGGGCTGAGGAATCACTAACATTCAACGATGTGGCTGTAAAGTTCACCTGGGAGGAATGGCAGCTCTTGAACCCTGCTCAGAAGATGCTATATCAGGATGTGATGTCGGAGAACTATCACAATCTGGTTTCCATTGGAAGT